GGAGGGGAAGAGGAGGAAATGGGGAGGAGGGGAAGAGGAGGAAATGGGGAGGAGGGGAAGAGGAGGAAATGGGGAGGAGGGGAAGAGGAGGAAATAGGGAGGAGGAGAAGAGGAGGAAATGGGGAGGAGGGGAAGAGGAGGATATGGGGAGGAGGAGAAGAGGAGGATATGGGGAGGAGGAGAAGAGGAGGATATGGGGAGGAGGGAAAAGGGATGTGGAGGAGGGGAAGAGGAGATGAGAAGGAGAGGAAAACGGCGGAGATAATAGTGTCAGGGGCGGAGGAGGAACATGAAATGGTACTTGGCTGCTCGCCAACTCTGCGATTCCTGCTTCTCCCCCAAGCACAGGGCCTCTGGGTGGCAATGGAGCCTTGGAAGGCATCTGGGAACAGCTTGCCCCAGGCTCTACCCCAGGACCTTCTCTCTGGGGGCCTCTGACCCCATCCTCTGGGGGTGTGGCAGTTTTCATGTTGGCTCTTCACAGTTGGATGCAGTGTTGGGACTGCTCGCTCACGAGAACTTCTCCCACGGGACCAACCCTTCTTTATAAAAGACGTTTTAGTTAGAGACCCTAAAAGATGTGAAAAAAAAAATCATTTCAAAAATATTGTTTCAAATATAATTGTGTCCCTCAGTGAAGGAGTGAGAAGTAGGGATTTGGAGAGAAATCACTCAGCTATGAATTTTAGCTATTTATTAAATATGTCTTGGGAAAAATTGTTTCTACTTCAGTTTTCCAATGTACATATATTTTGAGACAGGGTCTTATGTAGCCCAGGCTGGTCTCAAACTTGCTATACAGCTTTGGATGACTTTGAACTTGTGACTCTCCTGTCTCTACTGTCTCAGAGCTTGGATTGTAGATATATGGCACCATGATTTATGCAGTGCTGGGGATCAAGCCCGGGCTTTCTGCATGCCAGGCAAGCGCTACCAATTGAGCTGCATCACCAATCCTCAGTTATGATATTTATTTCACTCATAAGAGTACAGGGATGATTCAATCAGACCATACGATTGCTAGTGCTTTGTAAATCTGAAAACACTGAAGTTATAATAAAACTAATACATTCTACTAATGTATTGATAAAAAAAATCCCCTGGAAATGTTTTAGTATCGGTGAGCAACTCTGACATGTTATATTTATAAACTTTTGAGAGCAGCTGAAAAGCACTGTCTTTAATAAGCGATGTCACATTCGTAGTATTCACATGTGGGACACTAACGTAGGGCTGAGTGAAAAGAGGTGCAAACTGTAGTCTTCTGCTTTCCTTTGTTCCATCAGGCTTTCAGGCGGGCTGAATATCCTGGCTGCTTGAGACTCCCTGTGTAGACCAGGCTGGCCTGGCACTCCCTGTGTAGACCAGGCTGGCCATGATCCTCATGCCTCTGCCTCCTTTGCTCTACAGGTATACACCACTATGCCCACCCAATCTATGTAATCTCAATAACAACAATGATTAGGTAATACAAAGATGGCCTTGCTTCTCTCCGACACGGTGGTACAGCTTGCCTTAACTGTGAACCCAAGACACGGAGTAGTTGTGAGGGCAATCTGTCACCCCCCTCTGGTCTCCAGGGTTGATCCTGCTGGTGTGACTGGGCTAGGCAGCTGTCCCTCTCTCTTGCTGTGTGTGTCCTTCCCAGAGCTGTGCTCAGACAAAGAGGATGACCCTCCCCAACGGAGGACCACTCTCAGCCGAGGGCACACACACCGCAGCTGTGCTCCTGAGCTGGAAACAGTACTCTCATCTGACTTAAAAATCTTTAAATTGCATTTATTATGTATGTGTGTGTGTGAATGTGCACACATGCATGCCATGGCACATGCAAAGTTTAATAAAGACATTTTAATATAGGCCTGTGTATGAGGGCTAGCAAAGAGGCACTCAGAAAAATTTAAGAGACCCAGAGCATGGGCTAGAAGTCTACAGGAGAGTGAAAGACAATAAGACTTACCTAGTGTGGTCACAGGCTCCTGCAGGGACAGCCATGGGACATTCTTCATCTATACAAAAGAAGGAAGTTTTGCTACATACCACAGTGTGCGTGAACCCAAGGACATTATGCTAAATGAAAAAAAATATTTGTGATTCCATCTACATGAGGTAAGTATCTAAAGAAGACACACACACACACAGAGAGAGAGAGACAGAGAGAGAGAGAGAGAGAGAGAGAGAGAGAGAGAGAGAGAGAGAGAGAGAGAGAGAGAGAGATGTTCAATGGTTTTGTTCCAGTTATAAAAGACAAAAACCATTCTGGACAAGACACCTACTGTACAATAATGTAAACACAATATATACTACAGAACTCTATATTTCAAAATAGTTTTAAAAATTATCTTTTTTTTTTTTGAGACAGGGTATCATGTAGTCCAGGCTAGCTTCAAACTTACTCGGTAGCTAAGGTTAGCCTTGGACTCCCGATACTCCTGCCTCTATGCCTCTATCTCCCAAATACTGGATTATAGTTTGTACTATGCTTGGCTTCAAGGTGGTTAAATGGTAATAAATTTTGTTTTGTGTTTCTTTTTAAATCACAGTTTTAAAAATTATGTAAAATTCCTTTTTTTCTTTACCAATTGTATTTATTGCTAGACTCCTTAAACTTTTAAAAAAAGAATTTGAAAAGTTGGTAACATAGGAAAAGATAAATATAACTCAGGAGCGCTCTTATGTAAATAGTTATAAATCATGGAGGGCCAGGAAGGTGACTCAGCTGATAATCTGAGCCCCGTTCCTGAAACCCATATAAAGTGGGAGAAGAGAACTGAGTCCATCAGCTTATCCTCCGACCCCCACACACCCATGCCACAGCACAAACAGTACCCCATCATGATACACACATTAATAATAAATTTTAAAAAGTTTAAAATCACCAAAATACTGGCCATGTGGTAAGAAAGGGTGTAATGCCTCCATGGACACAAAACCCCTGGAGGGCTGGTGGGACAGCTCAGGGCATGGCTGCACTCCTGCAAGTTGCCCTCTGACCTCCACATCTGCACCATGGCAGATGTGGAACAAAATAATGTAACAATACAACCAAAAAATAATAATAAGATAAAAGCACTCGAACAGGAATTGAACTTTTGGCACCTGGCCATCAACTCTCAGCACATTTTCACTGAGCCGGCTCTAAGATGTCCAGCTTTAGGTGAATTCAGATTTCAGCAAAGCCAAAGTGTTTTGTTCTCTCCAGCTTCTGTAGTGGACACGGCTCAGGATCCTCTGAGGCAAAAGTGCCACAGTGGTTAAATTACCAATAGAGAACTAAGTGTAAGGAAAATCAGAGTCTGTATGTGACAGGCTGCACATGTACACATATGTACATGAACACACCCACACAGATATGCACTGTGCTCAAAGCTGGGGGCTTTGCAGACATCCCAGCCTGATAGTCTACACCCACTGAGACATGCTTATCACCTCTCCATCTGAGCAAGACAGCAACCAAGGACAGGCCCTCCTTACCTCTCTCCCCACACCAGTCCCCAGAAGCAGACCAAGGAACAGGCCCACCCTGAGCCCCTGCCATCCCCGAGACAGATGTACCAAGCCCTCAGAGGAGGCTATCACTTCATCCAGGTAGACAGGACACTGGGAAATACATGGCTGACCCCATGTGTGGAACAACAGAGCGAGGCTTTGTGGCCCTTGGAACTCCCCAGAGGACCAAGATTGTAGCACACCTCGGCTGGTTAGAGGAATTTCTCAGCAGCAGTGACAGATGCTCAGCTGCAGTGGGTGGGGAGCTTCTGTGGTTTGGGTCGCCGAGTGGGACAGCCTTGGCAAAGCAAGCACTGCTCAGGGCGGCAACAGCACCCATTAGCCACCCAGCAGTTCTCAGAGTGATGGCACTGACGAGGACAATCACTGTGCATGTGGTCACCCTCGAAATGTCCTGTTGGCCCTCTGACAGGAGGGTGGGCTGGCCACAAGCTGTACATTTAGAGGCTTGATTTCTCCTTGACTATCAAGTGACCATACGTACAGTGTTTCTCAGTTACTTCCAGAAACCCTGAAAACAACCTTTATCGCAGTGGACAGAGCTGCAGACATCAGAATACCTCCAGCTTTGCCCTAGAAGCAATAAAGAAGGGTCTGGAACCTATCTGGGACCCAGGCAGGGAATTTCCTCTCCAGTACCTGCTCCCCAGCATTGCACAGGGCATTTAAACTTTGGCCTAGAGTGGTGGCCACAATTGATTTTCAATGATTCCCCAAACTCCTTAGTGCTGGGATTATAGGTGTTTGCCATCACACTGAGGTTCGGGACAAACCACTCAGACATTTGATTCAGATTACCAGGGGTGACACATTGTTCCCCAAATCCAGTAAGGGAAGGGTTGGTTGTGGGTGGGAGCTGGAATCAAAGGGTTTCTTATCAGTATTTTTTAAAATTATTTTTTAAAAACATGGAATCCTTCATGAGTTTGCCTGTCATCCTTGTGCAGAAGCCATGCTAATATTCTCTGGATTGTCCAGTTTTAGTATCTGTGATGTGCAAGTGGGCATTCTCATCAGTTTGGGAGGGTTGAATCCAGGGCAGTGTGAAGACAGAATTCTGGAACTTCATTCTGTAGCCATGGTCACCAACACAGTAAATGTTCCTTGATAAAATACATGAATAAAATGGATTATTTAAATCAAATAATCACATAAATAACCTTTTATCAGAACTTCCTAAACCATGTTCTATGGAATATTAGTTGTACAAATTTTACATTTTAAAAAAGTATCCCAGGTCAGAAAGTGTGGAAAATACAGGGCTAAAAGAGGTAAGTGCTGTGGAATAATGCCCTTGTACATTGGTTTAATAAAATGCTGATTGGCCAGCAGTCAAGCAGGAAGTATAGGTGGGGTGAGCAGACAAGGAAAATTCTGGGAAGAGGAAGAGCAGAGTCAGAAGTCTCCAGCCAGACACAGAGGAAGCAAAATGACAAGGCAGAACTGAGAAAACCACATGGCTAAACATAGATAAGAATTATGGGTTAATTTAAGTGTAAGAGCTAGTCAGTAATAAGTGTGAGCTAATGGCCAAGCAGTTTTAATTAATATAAGCTTCTGTGTGCTTACTTGGGGGACGTGAGTGGGAGAGATTTGTCCCGACCGCTGGCCAGCCGGGACACAGGAAAACTTCTGACTGCATTTGGTGCCCAAGTGGGGCATTGAGCCATATAAACCTAAGAAAGTTTAAAGATTCTGAATGCACAGAAACGGAGTCACACTGGGCTTCCTAGTCTCACAGTCTCATACCAGCAGCAGTGCCAACTTGTCTCCTGACAGCTGCCTGTGAGATGGAGCTGGCCGCCAGCCGCCATGAGCTAAGTGGCATGGCTGCGGATTCCTGCCACAGCACACAGAGACATCTCCAAGCTGCACAGTGTGGTGCCTGGTGAATTTAGCCTTTGCTAGTACAGACAGAACAAAAAGGAAGGAAAGAAAAGGTTTTTAGGCTACATGCTTCTGGATGGAAGCATAGGCCAACTGCTCCACAGAGTCAGCGATGAGCATGGTTCCCCCAGAGCTGGCGGTAAACATAGTTCCACTATGTTAGGAAGCTGAGGTGGGTGGAGTCAGCAGCCTAAGCTGCCACTTCAGTCCTAGTCATGCTGCAGTTTAAAGCAATAGATTCACAATAAGGCAGATTCAGATAGAATAAGACTTTCAATGGTTGACAATGTGTGTAAATATGTACATAGGCTTGGAAGAGGGAAGAAAATGAATATGGACAGTTATATAAAGAAGTAGTTTTAAAAAATAAAGTCTTTAAATAGACAGTAAAGGTAATATAAAAAATAAGCCACAGAAAGATGGAAATCACACACAGAGTCTGGATTATGTTGTCCTTGGGATTTTTAACTGCAGAAGGACATTTGATTGTAAAGGCTGCTCAGTTAAACCAATATGTATATTTTAAAGGTATTTTGACTTCAAAATTTGAATCTAAGGATATGCTGCTTTGGAAAGGAAGCTCTGCTTTTGTTTCCATAGGAAGCAAGAGGCTATAGATTTGTTCCAGGTTAAGATGGATCAGGTTTGACCAGCCAAGACCCCCTGAAAGGTCTCCAGTGACACCATGCCCAGATGATCCAACATCCAGATAAGCTTCAAGGCAACTGGCTCAGACAATGCAGCCTCACAGACTACTCCAGTCAGGACTTGACCATAATTCTTAATTTTCTCAGGATCCCCATAAGATTGCCAGTAGGAAGGACTATGAGAAGCTACAACCAAATTCCCAAAATACTGTTTATAGATGTTTTTATTAAAAGAGGGCTGATTTTAAATTCAATCTTTCTCTAGAAGAAGAAAGAGGGATATGATACAGATAATATGATATAGATATGTACTACATAGATATGATAGGATGAAAGGGTAGATTATTGAATCTACTTTAAAGAGCAGCAACTTGTTTAAAATGTTTTAAATTACTATAGATTTTAGTTTATTAATACAAATTTAAAGTTAATTTTATTATATTGTGTGTATATTTCTACTCTTGTTTAAAGTATTTTGTTTGTGCAACTCATTTAAGATTGTAGTGTATAGTTGAGAAATACAGATTAATAATTAGTCATGTATGATAATCAAACTTATACTCATGTTAAGTTTTCTAGGTATACATAGATATAATTCAATTAGATAATCTTCAAACACTTCAAAGACCTACAGAATATGGCATTTAAAGTGTTTTAAAAACTTGGACTTTCTGGACAGTGAGACATGTCTGCTCCTGGCAGCACTGATTTACTTCAAAGAAAAAGATGGGCATTGAAGACACTCCATATGGAGTTTATCTTCTTGTTGGCAAAAGTAGCCATTTGGTCAAGAAACTGTTCTTGCCTGGACTGCTTGACAAAATGTATTGACTGGACATGCAGGACCCATAGGAAGGTAACCACTGAACTTTGCAAGGCAAAATGGTCCTTCAGGTTCCTGCTTCACAGAGGAAACTGTCAGACATTCTATGGGACACAGAAAGAAGTGACTGAGAGACTCTAGGCCTATCGGCTGAAGAAAGATACCCCAACATTACAGAGGAACTTTGGATGACTGTCCAGGCAGGCAGCTGTCTCTGTCTATATTTTTTCTATATATTTCTATATTTTTAGAAGTTGCTTACAATGTGCTTCCTGTTTACTTAGGTAATAATATATCCTTCTGGGGTCTTCCTTTTTTTCTTCTTCTGGGGTCTTCAATGTAGTTGAAGACTAGATAGTTATAGTAATCTTCCTTGGTTATGATAAAGGATAAGTTAGATATGAAACCTTAGACTTACAAATATAGGATAGATAGAATATTTTCTTTAATTTTGCCAAATACAAATAGACTAGATATTGTAACTATAATTCTTGCTTGATAACTGTTTTGTTATATATAATTTTACTATGTTGAAGTTAAAACCTTCCCTTTGAATAGAAAGAAAAGGGGAAATGATGGGTGATGTCATTCTGTATGCTGTGAATATGTGCTGCTCTGATTGGTTGATAAAAAAAGCTATTTGGCCAAATGCAAGGCAGAATAAAGTTAGGCAGGACATTCCAACTAGAGAGAGAAAAGCAAAGAGAGGAGACGCTGCCAGCCGCCACCAGAAGAAGCAAGATGTAAAGTACCGGTAAGCCACGAGCCACATGGCAAAGTATAGATTTATAGAAATGGGTTAATTTAAGATGTGAGAGCTAGCTAGTGAGAAGCCTGAGCCATTGACCATGCAATTCATAATTAATATAAACCTCTGTGTGTTTACTTGGTCTGAGCAGCTGCAGGACTGGGCAGGACACAGGAAAACTTCCAGCTACAGTTACATATAGCAGAGAGTGTAGTTCAGGCTTGTGAATACCAGGATCAGTAGGCTGATGTGGGAGGGTTGCTGGTAGTTAGGGGCTAGCCTGGCCTACATAGTGAGTTCAAGACCAATGTGAGGACACAGACTGAGATTCTATCTTTAAAAGGGGGGAGGGGTGTTGGGGATTTAGCTCAGTGGTAGAGCGCTTGCCTAGCAAGCACAAGGCCCTGGGTTCGATCCTCAGCTCCAGAAAAAAAAAAAAAAGAGGAAAGAATTAAATGAGAGCTGAGTATGTTGGCATGAACCTATAGTTCCAACTGTTCAGAAGTCTGGGACAGGAGGATCACTTGAGGTCAGGAGTTTAAGACTAGCCTGGGCCACACAACAAGACCTAAAAGAGAAGTTTCATTGTTGTTATTTTTTTTAATCCAAAAGAATGTTAAATGTGATTTTTTTTTTACTCTGTCATTTCTCAAGGGACTTATTATGTCCATGTTATTATACCAATATTATATGATAATCAACATTAATATTACTTTTAAGGTATTTATTTTCATCATTAGTGTGGGGTGGCGCACACAGGAGGTTGGAGGACAACTTTTAAGAGCTGACTCTTCCCAGGAATCAAACTCCCATGCCCAGGCTTGTACAGCAGGAGCCTTACCTGCTCAGTCATCTCACTGTCACCAACATTTAATACTTATGATTAGTATTTAATGTGTTGTTGGGTGTGGTTGGCACATGCCTGTAATCCCAGCACTTGAGAGGTTATCCTTGGCTATATAATGAGTTCAAAATCAATCCGTGCCATACAAGATCCTATTTTAAAAAAAGAAAACAAGAAATTTAATGTTAATATGTTCATGTGTTTTTCCTAATTTTATTTTGTCAAGGAACCCAGGTTAGAGAATGTTGTCCTACGCTGTGTGAGACAAGATGGCTCAGGGGGTAATGCGTAGAAAGTGGAGGCTTGTCATTTTGTAGGGTAGTTTCCATAACACAGTAGTTTTCATTTCTCCTGACTTTACTTTTCACCATGGTAACTGCCGAGGAACTATCCAGAGAATGGGGCGGTAAGTGTTTGTTTCTGTTGCCCTGCAGTCGCTGGGAGGTGGTGCAAGGACGTAGCTGTCACCTCACCTTCTTGTAAGTCTTTCCCAAGCAGCCTTAGCGCCGAGCCACAGCGTGGCTGAGCCACAGCGTGGCTTTGCACGGTGCTGGTGTTGCCTCTGCCGATAGCAGAGAAAATGAGTTAAAATGCATCCCATGCTTCCAGTTGTACGCATCACCTCCTGATGGGAGCAGCAGCATGCTACAACCAAAGCCAGTATTTTACCTTTTATTTGTATTCAAGAAAAAGACACAGCATCGAGGGATGGTGGAGAAGCCCGGAGTGAAAACCATTCCTGGGGAGCCCCGAGTTAGGACATTACTCTAACCACTGAGCCTTTGGTTAAGGTGGAGCCAGCAGTCCAAGCCCTTGCAAGAGACGATGGTGTCAGTAGAAAGAACTCTTGACTGTGCATTTTTAAACTTCTGGGGTCTTCCACTCAATGTCTCTTCTCTCTAGCAAAGGGTGTTTCTGGACTGCTTTTTTGGAAATCACCTCTTGCTTCCTCTTTTTATTTATTCATCCAAAGGGTATTCACTGGGCCCCTACTGTTCGTTAAATATTGGGTTGGTAGTGAGGGTATTTATGTTGGTATCCTATCTATGAAGTGTATTTTATTTGCATTAAGAATTTAAGGAGGCATTGGGCATGGGAAAGGCCATCAGGGACAGAGAAGATGCCGTCGTGAAACTCATTACTTTATGCTGATCTAAGAAATTAATAAAAAGAAAGAAAAATTTCAACAACTTATTCTCTTTGATGCTCCAAATTGAAAAAAATTCTAAGTGTCAGTTTAAGCATTAATTTTAGTATGTGTGTTTCTTGAGGAACTACTTTTCTCTTTTGAAATAGGGTTCAGTCTATTGCCCTGGCTGGCCTAGAATCTAGGCTGGCCTCGAACTCTCGGTGATCTTCTTTTCTCAGCTGCCTGGGTGCTGATGTTACAGGTGTCAGCTAGCATGCTAGACTTAAAATTTCTTTTAAAATTGAGCCAGGCATAGTGGCACACATCTGTGATCCCAACATTAAAAAATCAATCAGGTAAATAATAATTGTATGTTTTATAGGGTGGAATATGATGCTTTGATATGTGTATACACTGTAGGATAATTAAATTGGGCTAATTAATGTATCTATCTCTTTATATGTGTTTTGATTTTGTTTTGAGATGGGGGTCTCACTGTGTACCCCAGGCTGGCCTTGAACTCATGATCCTCTTGCCTCTGATTCCCAAGCACTGGGATTAAGGTTTCTATCACCTGGCTTTATCTCATGCTTGTTACTTCTTTGTGTGTTTATGTGTGTGGCCAGAACATTTGAAATGATCTCCCAACAGTTTTGAAATATACAATACTTATTAGTAACTATAGCCATCATACAGTCAACGCAAACACTTGTCCTGCCCACATAACTGAAGCGTGTGTTCTCTGACCAACATCTTCCCATTTCTACTTTTTTTTTTAAAGATTTGCTTGATCCAAGACTGAGGATGTAGCTCAGTGCCAGAGTACTTACCTAGTATGTGTGGGTCCTGGGGTTTAATCTCCAGTCCTGAAAAATAGAAAGAAAAAAAATTCTGACAGTTACTGAACAAGTACCACAGTGAGTAAAACTGAATAGCTGACAGAATTATGTTCAACTTTACTAGGAGTCTGAGGGTCACAGAGCAGGATGCGGAGAAAATGGCCACCACAAACCAGGAAGCAGACCCCCACAAAACCTAGCAGCTTGCAACTGGACTTTCCAGCATCCGGAACTGTGTGGCATGAATGTGCGCTGCTGGGGCCACCCAGGCCCTGGTTGTTTCTGCTAAGCACATGGAACTGAGGCAAGTGGCATTTGGTGAAGAGACGTGAAAAGAAAACGGTGAAGAAAAGAGAAGAAATATAAAGGAAGGGACAGACATCCTGCAGAATGTATGGAAGGGGCTGAAGACACGGAGGTAGAGAGCTGACCGAGCACAGACAAGCCTGGGATTGATACTCAGCATTGTGCGTGCGCGCGCGCGCGTGCACACACACACACACACACACACACACACACACACACACACACTCACACTCACACTCACACACACAGATGCATGCATGTGTGTACACACAGTAAATCCTATGAAGGTTTTTATTTATTTATTCTTTGTCTTTTAGTACCGGCTGGAACAGTCAGTTTGCTTGAGTTAAGACTGGGTTAGCAAGACTGTGTAGGTCTGTTGTCCTCTTAGGGAGGAGCTGGAGGGTGGGGAGCTGAGTGTAGGGGGCGGGCGGCTAATGAGTACTCCCTTCTTCCTCTATATGGTACAGTCAAGGCCTTTTAGGTCTTGTTTCTCCTTTATTTTCAGTGTCTTTAGTATTTCAAGGCAGCAGCATATTCTAGAAATGACAATAGCAGCATGGATATAGTTTTTGTCTCCACCAACACAATTCAGTAGTGCAAATTAGAGGCGTTCCAGAACATGTCCACTGGAGGTTCTTCTCTGTCCTGTCCTGTCCCACAGCCACTTCCCAAATGATCACACAGAGGCTGATATTGATTATAAATGTTTGGCCAATGGCTCAGGCTTATTACTAACGAGCTCTTACATTTAAATTAACCCATTTCTAATCATCTATGTATTGCCACATGGTCCATGGCTTGCGGTTCTCTGGCAGCTGCCCCAACTCTGCCCTTCTTCTTCCTGTATCTCCATTTGGCTCTCCCCTCCTGCCTTATTCTGCCTGGCTATAGGCCAAAACAACTTTATTATCTACTAATGAGAGCAACACATATTCACAGTGTACAGAAAGACCATCCCACAGTAATCCACACTTAAGGCTGCCCAACTCTCCTAGCTAACTGGTCAGCAGGTCTACTTTTTGTCAAGCTCCCATTGTGGGCAGGGAGCCCTTCCTCATGTTAAAAGCCTCTGGCTTCCTGGTCAGGTTTTACTCAGAATATATGGTTTTAAGCTTAAAAACTACATTTATTTATTTATTTATTTATTTATTTATTTATTTATTCATTCATTCATTCACTCACTCATTCATTCAGTCATTCATTCACTGTGCTGTGGTGTGTGTGTGCCTGAATGTGTCCCAGTGCATATGTGGAGGTCAGAGGACCAATTATCATCTGTCCTATCCTCCTGTAATGTGAATTGCTAAATGGTCTTATTAATAAAAAACCTAGAGCCAGATATTGGGGTGAAAGCTGAGAGATCAGAGGAACAGGACAAGTCAGCCACAAGTTCTTACCTCTAGGAAATCCTCAGCCCAAGAGAGCTACTTCCTGTGTACTCACAACTATATACCTTTCTATGCCCTGCCATCTTACTTCTCTCTGCCCAGCTACATCACTTCCTCTTCCTGCCCAGCTCTATCACTTCCTGTCGGTCTGTACAGACCTCCAGACCTCTATGGTTAGCTAGTGCTGGTATTAAAGGCGTGTGCCACCATACCTGGCTCTGTTCCCAGTGTGGCCTTGAACTCACAGAGATCCGGATGAATCTCTGCCTCCCAAGTGCTAGGATTAAAGATGTGTGCTACCACTGCCTGACCTCTATGTTTAATAAAGTGGCTGGCTTTTTCCTCTGATCCCCAGGCAAGCTTTATTTGTTAGAGCACAAATAAAATATCACCACATCCTCCCATCACATTGGTCCCAGGAACTGAACACAGGTTGTTTGGCTTGGCAGCACTGGGTTTGAACACTGAGCCACCTTACCAGCCCCTCACACTGTTGGCACCATTCACCTGCTTCTAGCCTGGACAAAAGCTTCCAACTCTGTCAGGTCAAATATAAATTACTCCCTCCTACATCCTGGGAGACTTTTCTGTCTTACTCATATCTCATAGCTGTTCAGTCTCTCAGGCATCGGATTCCAGGGTGAAGCCATACTTTACATGATGATGTTCATCAGATCCCTGGTAGGCACTGAAGTTCATTCACCACTGCGCCTCAGCTGGATCCAATTGAGCCACCTTTGCTAAGGGCGGCCTGTGGACTGACCAGTGGTGGACTCTTAGTTTTCATCTTCCTTAACTAGAAGTAAATAGAAGTGCTGTGTGATGTAATTCATCTTAATTGTCAAGATGAATTTGTTGAGATTTAGACTGACAATTGAAACACACCTCTGGGTGTGTCTATGAAGGTGTTTCTAGAATTAACAAAAGAGGGAAGATGTGGGTGGCATCATTCCACAGGCTACAGTTCAAAACTGAATGAAAAGGATGAATTGAACTGAGTACTAACACTCATTAGTAAATGGCCGGTTCTCTCCTGCCTGTCAGTTCCTGAATAACCACTCAGAGGCTTAATTATGGTGGTATTTTATTTGTACTGAAATGTGATTTTATTTGTATGTTAATAAATAAAGTTGCCTGGGGGTCAGAGCTAATAGCAAGCCATCGCAGAAGCTGGATGGTGGTGGTGCATACCTTTAATCCCAGCTCTTGGGAGGCAGAGCTAGGTAGATCTCTGTGTGGTCAAGGATACAGCCAGCATTGGAAACACACGCCTTTAATCTAAATACCACAGAAGACCTGGAGGTCTGTACAGACAGGCAGTGACTAAGAGGTCATGTGGTTGGTTTACAGCCAATGAGAGGGCAGAACAGAAAGTTTATATAAAGCACAGACACACAGGAAGTAGGTCTCTTTTGGAGAGGTAGGACAACAGCGATAGTGAAGGGTAAGGTTTTTAGCTCTTAGCTATTGCTCTGACCTCTTGGCTTTCATCTCTGTATTGGCTCTATGTTTCTTATTGAATAAGACGGTTACTTCTACACTTAATATTACTTATAAATGCTTGGCCTGTAGCTCAGGCTTATTACTAACTAGCTCTTACACTTAAATTAACCCATAATTCTTACCTATGTTTAGCCACATGGCTTGGCACCTTTTCTCAGTACAACATTCTCATCTTGCTTCCTCTGCATCTGGCTGCCAACTCCAGACTCCACCCTTCCTCTTCCCAGCATTCTGAGTTTAGTCGCCCTACTTACACTTCCTGCCTGGCTACTGGACAATCAGTGCTTTATTAAACCAATTCGGCTGACAAATATTTACAGTGTACAAGAGGGTTATGCCACAGCACTCATCTCTCTCAGTTTCCTGACCACTGATGCAACCTGGCCAATCACCTCCCACTCCTGTAGCCATGACTTCTCTGTAGGGAGAGACAACAAGAACTATGAACCAACCAAGTCCTTCCTTCCTTCCTTCCTTCCTTCCTTCCTTCCTTCCTTCCTTCCTTCCTTCCCTCCCTCCCTCCCTCCCTCCCTCCTTCCTTCCTTCCTTCCTTCCTTCCTTCCTTCCTTTGGTGGCTTCTTCCATTAGGAATCCTGTTCAAAAGATGGATCAAGTTTACTTTGTTAATTTGTTCTGTATACTGAAGGCACTGTGTGTATATGTGTATGTGTGTATGTGTGTATGTGTGTATGTGTGTATGTTGTGTGTATGTGTGTGTATGTGTGTATGTGTGTATGTGTGTGAGTGTATGTGTGTATGTGTGTGTGTGGGAGAGCAGAGAGAGAGAACATACCTAGTAAGGAATAGCTTCTCAACATCCAGATGTGGAGGAGATGGTGGGTAAACCTGCATAGGCAATACATGTCCATATCTATTTTGAGAAGTATTATTATAATGGAGTAGGAGACTGGTGAGTATGTGGGGCCAAGTCAGGCTTTTACATTATTCATCTATTTTATTTGATGTGTGTGTGTGTGTATGTTAGTGTTTGTGTATGTGTACCGTGGCACATGTGTGGAGGTAGGGGATTGATTCTCTCCTTATTTTTATTATATGTATTTTAATTAACTTATTTACTTCTGAGATTATAATTTGAACATTACCCCCTTCCCTTTCCTCCCCCAACCTTGCCATTTCCCCCCCAATCCCTGATCTCCTTCAAATTCATGGTCTCTTTGTTCACTGATTATGATTACATGAATACGCATATATTCCTAAATACAACCTTCTCAGTCCATAGGAAGTTAGCATATGTATGTTTTCAGTGTTTTGTTTTTGAAGAACCCCAAGTAGATCTCAAACTCTTGAGCCTTCTGCCTTAGCCTCCCAGTGGCTGTGATTCCAGGCATGTCCCCGCTCTGACAAGCTGGAGGGTTTGAAGAAGGAGAAGTCAAATAAACCTCCTGGAAAATGGCCACATGAGCCAGGACACAATAGCTGAGAAGCACTGAGGATCATGGTCGTACATCTGAAGAGAGATTTGTAGATGGTAAAAACATGGGAAGGTCAAAGGATTGGGGATGCTGGTGGGATCCAAGAATTATTGGAACCTAGACACTAGGAGCAATGAGTGGGGAGAGGGAGGTTGGTGGAATGCTGAGTGGTGACATCACACTGGACTGAGCCTTGATTTCAGTAAGAACTTCCTTAAAATCCCATTTACTTCAGTCTTCAGAAGAAACCAGGCCTGGGAGGTGTGGAAGGTTGGAGTTCCCGGTGGGGACAAGGTACTTAGTGCCCCCTCACCACTCAGCATTCCACCAACCTCCCTCTCCCCACTCATTGCTCCTAGTGTCTAGGCTCCAATAATTCTTGGGTCCCACCAGCATCTCCAATCCTTTGACCTTCCCATGTTTTACCATCTACAAATCTCACTTCAGATGTACGACCATGATCCTCAGTGTGATATCTCGCTGGGGGAAAGGTCTAACCTGAGGACTTGAGTTTAACCCCTGGAGACCATGTGACAGGAGAGGGCTGACTCCTGCAAGCTGCCCTCTGATGTCCACACATGGACCGTGGCATGCACACGCATACACACACAGATGCACACACACAAGTAAGTGTAAAGAAATCAGGGCTCATCTGGTAATCATCAAACGATCCACATTTGGATCTACTGCTGAGGATCCAGTAAACTTAAGATGTTTGGGTATATTGATGATACTTCTATAATAAATCATGTTTATAAGGAATAGTCACCTCACAACCTTTGGTAACAATGACATACGTTCACTAGGAAACAAACGTTAATAAGATAATGACCCTTGGAGGCCAGGGTAAGGCTCCCTAGGGACAGTGTCTGCCTGGCACACACTAAGCG